CTTTCTATCAGCTGTTCAGTATTTTTATCTAAAATAATAAAACTATCTGTGTGGATACGCTTTACTCGATCTCCTAGAGGTCTAATTTTTTCTGATATAATTTTGCGTCCCTTTGCTAAAATAAAAGGTGCCATACGCTGATGTGGACCCGGTCTTCGTCCATCTGAGAATAAACGTCCCCAGAGAGATACTAACATGCGTTTAGCGACTTTTTCTGCCTGACTGCCTTCTTATTTAATCTCTGTAAGATAACTTGCCCATTGATAGAAGACTTTACTTCCGTATGTAAGATGCCTAAATATTAAAGCATTTGGGCTTTTAGATGATAATTCTATATCAAGACCTAGATTTAACGCTAATTATATATCATAGAGAGTATAATATCCTGCTGAATTATAGCGAAATGACTTTATGCATTTTTGTTTTGCTGGTTGGTCTCTCATAGTTGTATGATAAATTCTATAACTTAGAATATAGTCGATAGGATCAGTACTAATATGAGTGATTGTTTTAAATTCTCCTGATCCTATTGGCCTGGCAACTTCTTTACAATTTCTGACTCATCAGAAATTACTTGACTGGCTAGAGGGTCTATCCATAATAATTCAGAAATATTCACATTATCTATACTGAAGTATAGATACTGGTTAATCAGCATCATTGTATTTTTCTTGAGTTTGGCCTTCAGCTCATTTATATTTTTTTTAATCTCGTCAGAGTTAAGAGGATAAATCCAAAACTTTGAGTCATGACTTGGAATTATTTTTAAAAAAATATTAATAATCGGAATGCTTCGGAAAAATCAGAAGAAATTGGTGACTCTGTTAACAATATTAACGATTAGAACGCTTCAGAAAGTTCAGTAGGACTAGGTATGGTCACTGAATTCGTTCAAGGTTTGTTGGTAGAGTTACTCTCACCGGACGAACAACTTCAAGATATAAAGTTTTCTTCTTTCAGAACCCTAATTCCTAGATCAATAAGTATCGAGAAACTTGCGGATGCATTCTGCCAAGTGAATGTTGCAAGAAATAAATCGATCATAGCAAAGCGATCAGAGATTACATTATGATGTTTATTTTCCAAGAAGTTCGAAGATAAGGTTGTGGAGCTTAGGTCAAGTGATAAGAAACTTGCAGATAGGATAGCAAGATCACAAATTTACGCTGAAATGAAACCATACCTTATGGGCATTTCTGATACATATTTACGTGTAAGGACCTGTAAGGCAAGAAAAATTAATAAGTTATTTGGGTTTGAATATGATCCTGTAACTTTAAAAAAGATTGATAGTATACTGGGATACATGATTAATTGGGTCATCTGTAGCGCTGACAGCATCTCAAGACTCACTAACCCTCAAATCAATTATATTATAGAATAAGTCAAATCGAAAACCACTTTCTCGAACAATAAGAATGTAGCTTCTGCGCCCATAACACCTGATGTGTATTTTGAGGAGTCAGAAGAAGAAATGAATGTAGTAACTTCATATCCAGCTAAGACTAATAATGATAATGTGTATTTTGAGGAGTCAAAAATGAATGAAGTTAATACAGGCGATGATTCTGATTCAAAATGTGATAGTGATTCCGATGTATATTTTAAATCTGATGACTCCGACTCTGATGATGAGTATGATCACGAACTTTATGAAAGGCTCACGCGTGAAGAAATGGCAAGAATAGCGGAGTTAGAGAAAAAAGTACCAACTAAGCCTAAAGGGTCCAAGAGGGACCAAGTAAATGATGCTGATGTCGATTTTGATAAAATAATCATAGAAGTTCTCAAGGAGCATGAGACGTATTTTGATAATTCCACACCTCAGTCAGTGATGGTGAACGCCTAGGAGAATTATCAAGTGAAATCACATATTTGCATAGACTGAATTATTGTATAGGTTATTTCTGCAGTGCTCCTATTTTTAGATCTAGACATGTTATTTTTGTATTAATGGAGCTAAGATCTTATGAAATGTCATCGATCAATAAAAAATATTTCGGGGTTATTAATAAAAAATTTTATTGGTAAAATTCTTGCTGAAGAATAGCAATTATTTTTCTCATATGGGAAGTGATTGGTGTGATTCCTCTGGAATCTACATACTAATTTTTTATTTAATACAGGGTAATTTAGAAAATCTGGATCGGCTAATTATTAAGCAATATGATTTTCAGAAACTTTCATGTTTTGTGATAATCAACTGCGGAGGAGACTTAATTATAAAATACTGGTCACTAGAGGTCTGTTCTAGTAAGAAAAATACAAATCAAAAAATATCTCAAATCGAAATTATTAAATAAAATGCTTTTATATACGGATATCTCTGCTTTATTTCACTACTAACAATTTTTTTATCAGCCTTAACCAAGAAATTAACCATCTCTTTCTCTTCTAATGATTGGCCATTAGCCATTAAGGCACTTCACATAATGAAGTAGATCTTCTATCTCCGCTTATAAGCGTGGTCTTGAAGATAAAGTTATAGAACTCAATAAAAGTTTTGCCAGAGAAAATATATTAGAGGCTTTACAAGAGCTATTACCTAGGATGATATAGTTTCGAGAAGCAGGTAGTCTCAGAAGGATCCCATCAGCCAGAGAGATACCCTACCTAATCAATCCGTTTATAGTCGACCAACACATTCTGAAAAGTATATTTCAAAGGAAGGGATTGCGGAGTAATCAGGTGGCGTAGAAGTAGTATCATCAGCCTAAGTAATGCCTCTGTACCAGCTGTCATTACTTATTCTCTAATGTTACCGATTGTAACATATTCCATACTTGTTTTACTACTGATTGTGATCATATGGTTCATGGTTAGGAAATGGTGGAATTCCAGGTTCTTGGATATTATTGCAAATCAAATAATATTTTTTACTACCTTTACTATCAATCAACTAGTGGCCTTCCAGATAGCAATGATCTTTTTTTGCATATAGAGCAGATTTGCATATTATAGATGGGGTAGCAATCTACTTGGTTAAGACATTCCCTATCTATACTGGCATGAAGGTCTAGGCATGAGGTAGTTCTTTTGAATCAATTTATCACTAAATCAATAACATTATCACGCTTCCATTTGGTAACTTCTTTTGGAGTAGAATGAGCTGATCACTTTGTGAAGCAAATGAATCCTTTGAATCGATTCCAGAGGAATCATCTGGAGAATTAGAGACATGAGATGAAAGAACAGGTGCGGTTGAAATGCTTACCTCAGAAGATTCAGCTGGCAGATCACGTATACATGAACAATTATTCACGCTGATTAATTTTTGAGATTCATCTGTATTGCTCGTAGAAGATTTGAAGAAGAAAATTACAATATCCTGAACTTGAGTTTCAGTCAAACTTGAGATTGTGCTTGCACTATAACTAACTGCTTGAATTTTATCTATTCCTATTCTCGTAAATAGTGTGTAGATTTTTTTGGCTCTAAACATTTTCTGACACAAGTTTACATCAGTAATTTCAGGGAGAAGGACTTTGATCTCATTGTATACCATTGTTCTTGCTGATTGGTCATCAATATTGTTTACAGACCTGAAGTACCTGATTCGATCTTTATACGCCTTATAGTAACAATACCAGCATAAGATCTCCTTTCGTCTGACTTTCATTAGAAAAATATGAAATTTATTTCTAACAATAATTTTCGCCTAAAATTGGCTAAAATTGGCTAAAATTTGTCAAAGCCTAGTTTTTCAGAAAAATACTTAAAATATTTTCAGAAAATTCCTTCTAAAATTCGCTTTATTAATAATATAACTTATAAAAATACATGTATGAAATTTCTATTCTATTAATTTTTGGGAGTCGAAACTGTTACTGTTATCTCGCCAGAACTATGCTCACTATCTCTGGAATAGGAATCATATAATATCTTATGGATTGTACATGTGACGACTATACCACATTCCTAATAGATTGTGTTCCCATCAATAATTTTTGATTTACTACCATAGAAAGCATTTTCTTCAGAAATAATTGGAAAGTTTTTCTCCTGCATCAAAGGAGGATCGATTTATGTGTGAAATTATTTTGTCCACAAGCAGATGGTCGCACTTGCACAGATAATTGGCAGTGTATCACTATTATATCATATATATTTTAACGAGGATCAGAAACATGTTTATTTATGCTTTAGCGCCTTAACGGCTGTCACACATGCCTACATGCATTGACTGTAAAGCGTTTAGTATGGTAGTGCAAATATACTCTGTGATTAAGGCCTATTTATTATTGATAATATTCAGAATCTTAATTATCATCCCGCATAAACCTGCAGGTGATACATTCAGTAAGCGATCTATGCAAAAAAAAGAAAGGATTAATTTATTGTATTATTATAATAAATATGTAATATACTATTTTGGTAAAGAATCTATAGCCTGGAAAATACGTTGCACATACTTACAATTATTATTCGAATCTGAGAAATCTATACTATTAAGCTTTCCCTCGATAGTAAGATATCCAGATTTATAATAGTCAATTTCTAGCGATTCACATGAATATGCTTTACCTGCTATTTTACACATGTATCGTCCATATTCTGAACTTCTAACAAAGTTTACATTACCATTGTTGAGGTATTTAACAATACAGTGATATTCAGGATTTGATAGCCACTTTAACATATGAGACCAATCTGAATATTCGACGATTCTATAACCTTTCAGATGTAATTCTATAAAAACAACTATATATACTATAATAAGTAATCGTTCCCATAACTGATATTTCTTTTTTTCTGCCCAGTCGTATGGAACATGATTATTATATAGTCTATTTAAAAAATCTTTAGATACATCTTTTACTAGAATTTTTTGATTAATATACCATATATATGGATCATAAACATCTTTATGACTACGAGGATAAAGACACTTCTTCTCGTCAGGAGTACTATCATATCTCACCATATTCCAAACTCGTTTTGCCCATGTCTTAGGTCTTAACTTGAAAGTTCTTTAACCCCATTGGATAATTTTTACACTGTTAAATATGGAATAAGCAATTCTCTGTCTAAATTCATAGCCCGTATTATGTGTATGAAAACCACGCTGAGGATATACAGAATAATTTATAAAAATCCTTTCAACCTCATCAGAACTAAGTGATGATACTCTTCCCACTTTTTTCGTATTTATTTGTATATGATTAAATAATGCTATGTGCCTTTCAGCTGTTTTAACCATTTTACGAGTGTAGAGATGGTTTATAGTAATTTTAATGATTTCATCGATTATAATGTTTTTAAAGAATTTTAGCAGTTTGTAGCAAGTATATTATAATAAAATATCAGATTCATTTTTATTCGATTACAAGCATATCGAGGGTTTATATAAGATTCACATCTGGCTATATGCATATTCACATGCATGTAAAGGATTTTCCAATGGCATAATAGCTAATCAGAGGTATGATCGTCAGAAATTCAGAGTATAAGATGATTTAATACAGGCTGTGTAAATCTCTCGTGATTAATAGGAATTAGCCTCGCATGATGTTATCATATCACAGGTATCACCCTGGCTTTCAGACAGTTCTCAGCACTTTCTCACAACCTTCCCGCAACTCAAATTACGAGATGATCGGCTGGGCTCAGAAATTTCGGTTACATGATTTTTTCTTATCTAAGGTAAACGAAATTTCTGAGCGAATAGTAAAGAAAAAAAAGGGTAATTTTATATTTATACACATGTAGATTAGTTTGCAGATCCCTTATGATTACATGTATCATTTTATTTGATAAGTACTCATACAGTATTTACAGGATATACATGAATAAAGAAATGAGAAAGGCTGCCCGGGATATGGGCAAACTTTATTATTTTGAATAGCATACAAAAATAAAATGAATCTACTGACCACGAGGTCAGCAAGTCATGTGATCATGTGATGCAGTAATAGTCTCACTATTCTCTAAAGCTATCTATGATATAATCGATTTTTTCCCAACTTAACTTCAAAATTGATAGTGCTGAATATGATTTAACTCGTTGTATCTTATTAACACCAATTTCGAGGAATAGCTTATATATTTTTTAAGCTCTCTCTGTTTGCTTCCAGCGAGTAGTATCAGTAATCCCCTCAGGCAACTGCTCCTTAATTTCTTTATCTACCTTACTCTGGGCCATGTGATCACGATACTTTTTTTCATTTTTATAATAATCCAGACGCTTGTATATCTTCTTTTCAAATTAGAAGTAACAAAATAAAACCCTTTGACTAGCAGAATCATTTTGAGTTTCAGCTTTAATGATTTTTTTATAGAGATGAGTATAACTATCTTCGGGTGATTGGGTAAGAAAAGTCAATTCTTGATTGATACTATCATCCTTTAGCTCCTTAACAAGTTTTTTCAACATAGCGGAATCGCCCTCCTTATCAGATGTCTTCTTTTTCTTACTAGATGACTCTTTGGTAGATGTAATAGTTCGTTTCTTACTGCTATCTTCGGCTGGGCAGGTATCCTTAACTTCCTCCATCAGATTTTCTGATATTGGTAAAAATAGGTTAAACTTTTCGCCCATCAAATTAGATAAGGCCGAAGTTCTACTTGATTGGGATGATTGTGAAACCTCTTCTAGCAGAGGTAGAGATTGGATATATGATATCAACTTTCATCCCACAATCAGAGAATAGACATACGTCTAGCCTGGTAATCATAAGCTTCTTTTCGATACACAATCTATGAAACAGATGCCCACATGACAGTATTATAAATGCTTTAAGAGGAAGTTCCAGAATATTGTTCGTACATTCAGAACATGACTCTAGTTCTGGAATTTCTTTATCCTTAACCATTTCATCCTCGAGATACTTCAAGATATTATAGGTAAGCTTTTTATAGATGGTAAGAGATGAGTGAAGTCTCTCTAGTACTTGGTAAGAAGGATTTTTGGTTGATTTTAAGCCCGACATATTCAGTTAATTTAACTCTAATCGTCAACTAGCCAGTTTTATATAGCGCTAGTATATGTACAGGAGAAAGATATTGCCAGATTCTCGTTAGCAATTACATATAGCATTTTGTCATTCATTAGCCTTGCAAATCAATAAAAAAAAGACTTCATGATTAGTACCTCTAGCTAATGATCTCTTAGCGATCTCGCAAAATAAGAAAACTAACTATAACTTTTTGATATGTGAAAATTAATATGTTACATAACCTGCCTGCTTGAATATATATGGTTCCTCTGAGACCGTCTATCAAATTTAATTAATCTGATTGGAAGATGTGTCATGATAATTATTTTGCACAAATTCTAACTCTCGTACTAATCTGTCTAATGATAATTATAGTCCTATTATATAAGCTTTTTGATAATCTTTTGCTCTAACCCCGTTTTGGAATACTAATTTGATATTCTTTTTTACATCATCTATAATATCCTCTATGCTCACTATGTCAAATGACATTTTAGTAATTTATTCTATAACTAAATATTTATTATACTAAAAAAAAAATCTAATATAATAATGTATGTGATCCGACTATACATCACTATCTAACTTATGGTTAAAAGCTAGATATGTGAGACACACACTCGTTTTGGTATTTCTCTGAGAGCTTAGCCCTCATAGCTCTTTTTTCGGCCTCTTCATGGGGAATACCAGCTTTTACCATATTCTTATAAATCATAATACGCTAATACTAATATGGTAAACCTGTTACATCATCTGATAATATCCAATATTTAGTACCTATAGGACAGAGAGCCTTCTTCTCAGATTCGACCAGAGATAATACAGTAGCGGTCATAAGTATCTGACCGCCTCTAACTCCGGCTACAAGTAAGTAAATTCAAAATTTTTTTTTTATTTAAAAAATACATAACCAACTAACT